GTGTGGAGACTTCTGCAAGCTTGAAGCAGCCTGCAGTTACTAAGAGGGAGATGTTTCACCTCTTTTCCAGCATCCCTTCAAGAACTCCGCACTGCCTGTTCTTCAGCCTTGTTTCCTAAAGAAATAAAGCTTATGTGGTCCTGCCCTGTGTGGATGCACACATGTGTGTGAGACAGAAAGGCAGTCTGTCTGTCTATCCCCAAAACAACTTTGGAGTCTCTCGGCCACCATCAGCCAGCCTGACAGCAGACACTATGTTCCTCTAACTCTCAGAAAACCAACGTCTGAGTGACGGCGCGAAATGCTGCCAGTGCCTCCATTAAGAGCGACACTGCAGTGTGGAATCAGCACTTTTATTAGACACCAGATAACCCATCGCAACAAATGCCTTATCCCATGGGAAAAGCCCCTGCGATGTCAGTACAGAGCTCTGGGGAAAGCAGGCTTTGGTACTTCTGCTGCTCCTCAAACAACTTGTTCCCAGAAATATCATTAAAACCACCCAGCTGATCTTTTATCTGGTGGCAGCTGACTCTGCCTGGTCCTCTCATGTCCTCTTACCAGGATGAAGTCCGTCTGATAGGTGGAGAGCATGAACACTGAGATGTTTTGGTCAGCTAGGGGTGCTATCACTGACTTGGCAATTTTGGTCACTCCGATGGGCTGGGAGCCAGAGAAGCCACCTCCGCCAGACACCACGTTGAGGGCAAGCCATGTTGCATCGGCCACACTCAAGTGTTCCGAGGAAGGGAGCTCTGCAAAGAGACAGAGGGGGAGGACAGAGGTTTGTTTTAGAGGCAGAGAGAGAGAGGTCCACCATCTGGTCTGTATGTGGTTAGCACAGACTTCAGTGAGAGGAATGAGATGAGCCCACTTATCCAGCCAGCCTGGACTTACACTCCTGGGCTTCCCATGCTGCTTCACGGGTGGGTACTGTGCCGCTTTTTAGATATACCGATGGCATCAGCTTCCACTGCAGGATTCATACAGATTTTCAAGGACAATACAGGGAATTACATGAGCCTCAGCCACTCGTTTGGATGCCGGCAACCAGTGCTGTTGACTTCCTCACGTGGAAACGGCCTGAGGTCTTTGACTTAACTCGAATCTCCTCTATCACACAATTCCTCCAAATACTTTACTTGAGCTTTTCTGGTCTCTTTTGTTTCGTTTTTCCTGCTCTAAACCCAAATTTTGTTCTGGACTTGAGATGGAGGTTGATGGAGCAGCCTGGGCACTAGCCCAGGACTGGGGAGGTGCAGAGCAGGTACCTTATGTATCTGCAGGCTGCTGCCTCCATCTCTGCAGCAGAAGACAAGAACCGCACAGCTCTGTAAGGGATGGACGGTGTAACATATACACGAGAGATTACAAGGTCATCACATACTAAGATAATGGAAATCTTTTTAACAATAACTCCAGTTCCATTCCATTTGCTTCTAGTCTATTGTCATTACGTAGTTAAAAATCTGCAGCTAAACCATTTTAACAGAAATTATTAACTGTTTTAAAGAAACTTTAATGTAGTAACAGCCCGTAAAACCAGATACGGACTCTGGAATGAAGGCATAAGATTCTCTGGACTTTGGATTTTAGCTTGGCAAATTATAGAAACAAACAGTTCAGATCCAGATCCAGACTTACAAATACATAATCCCAGTTCAATCTGCTTGGCGTAAAGAACCCGACTTCAGATGCAGATCCAGCCAGCAAAGGCACAGTGGAGGTTCCAGTGGAAAGCTACACACTTTGCTTAGAGGTTAGATGCAGCCCAGCAGTCTGAGAGCACAAATCCCAGTACTGCTGCTCTTGCACTGCAGGTCGGTCACTTCATGTCTCCATACCCCTGTTTCCGACTCCGTCCGCTCACTCCTGGTCCCTCTGTACAGTATCCTTCCCTTCTCCTTCATCGAGACCTTTGGGAGCTGTTTCCTCACAGCTCCAGACACCACGTAATAAATTCATAACCTCACATTCCCTGAATCCCCAGGCACCACTGTTGTGAGACAGCGACAGTGCTGAAAACCCAAAATGAACTGAATAACAAATACTGTTCATTTCGCTCTCCTCAATAACCTCAATTGTGTGTGGCATGAAAATAACCCTGAGCAAACACACTGCAAACAGTGGGGACACTGAGAGTTCTGCTTCTGCATTTTGATGTTTACCTTCATAGGCCAATGTTTCTTTTTTACTGAATAATCAGAGCTTACATGGAATGGAAACTAGACACCAGGGAGAGTGGGTAAGTTTGTGCATTAATCAACAGCATGTTACCTCAGAGAGACCAATGCAAGTTGCTTGCAGAAAATTATTGCAGCAAAATACCATTTTCTGATCAGACGGCCCTTTGCATCGGAAAAGCACCCCCAAAACAAAGCTTACTACATCAACTGGCGTGGAGAAGCTAGGGCTCAAAACAACTGCTGCTGATCTAACAAGCAGCTGACGTCATCTTCTCCTTTATTCCTACCTCTGCCCTTTGCCTGTGAAATAAGTAAGAAGGGAAAAAAACCCAGATGTGCTCCTTCTTTGGACATGTATTTGCCTCCTGCCAGCACGGGGCGGGCAGGCGAGGCCACCTGCACGTCATCGGTATTTACACTTCCATTTCCCGCATCCCGAAGCCATTAAAGCCGCCAGGCAACTAAATCACAGAAGGTGAAGCGACACCTTTCCTCTCTGCAAACTCACCCGGCACCGCACCTGCCCCGGTAGCCGCGCAGGACGCAGGGGCAGCTCCGCGTGCTCCGGGGGCCTGTGCGCACCGACCTGTCCCCCTGCAGCGGGCACGTCCTAGATGTGCCCAAGGCCGCTAACGACTTGCTGCCAGCAGCACGATCATAACTCACTTCCCTCTCTACAAACAGAGTAGATGCTATTCCTGCTCTGCACGGGTGACGTGGGCCTGGCTGCAGTTCATTAAATACCAGTTTACATACTATTTTGGGTCAGGGATGTGATGAAAGACGCAGTATTTCACGGTGGACAGAGGCATTATCACATTTCACTCTGGCAGCGGCGGTGCTGGAGGAGCTGCCCCAAGACCCCATCAACCTCTTGCTCAAGGGGAAGGCTGATTTGCCCGTTGCATTTGTAATTACTGGAAAGTGTTGATCGTGTTTGGTTTTATGTGTTTAACAGGCCTTATGAAGTGTGACAGAGGCCACTGCATTTGCTTAAGTAACCTGCCTCTCACAATTCAATTAACTTTGCAAAAAATACATAGAAAGTGATTGAAATACCAATTCTGGACACTGTTTCCACTAGGCAGCCAGATGGAAAAGTACAGCCCAAATTTTAATGAAACAAACCCAGGCTAGAGGCTCAACAAATTCAGCTAAATAGCATCAAACAAGCCACGTGGGAAGGTGCTTTGCCCAGGAAGCTGTTACATGCAGCAAACCCAAGGAGAGCTGAAAACACAGACGTAACATTAACGCAGACTCAGTGAGGTAGAACAAGGTAATAAAAAAGAGCAAAATGAGGCATCGCCCATGTTTAAGCACCACCTCGCCAGACCCATTGCCTCCAGCCCTTTCCCCGCAGAGCAGCAGGACTCCTGCCCCCCCCACAGCTTCAGCACTGCCTCATCCCCCGTCCTCACACTGCGAGACTGGCGCAGAAATCTCTCTGTTCGGCTCTCAAAACCCTCTTGCACCTGGTTTACCAGAGCGCAGGTCACTCCCGCTTCTGATCACAGGGGAGATCTCACCTCTGGCTGAGAAGGACCTCTAAGAGGTCAGAGACTTGGGCTTTGCTTATTATAATCAGGGTCTTTGTTTTGAATTCGCACTCGGGTGAAGCCTTTTGATTTGTGTGGTTTTGGTGCGTAACACTGCAGACCCGCTGCCAGGAGCAGGCACCTTGGAGCCGTTCAGCTGCCCACAGGCTCCATAACCATCATCTGCTGCCCATCATCACAACCATCACTGGCAAGCAGAGGTGGCTCACAGACTCCAGCTGTCATTTCATCCACAGTAGCTGGCATGGAACCCCACCAACCCATGTAAGATGTGCTCATCCTGACAGCCCAAGCCCAGCACTCACCTCGCGTATGATTTTGCCTGGCAGTGCAACGCTAGGTACCAATTGCTGGTGGGCTCCAATAGGCCACGGTACCGCTCTCCGTTGGCACAGCACTATTCTCTTATCCAAAATTCTCCCCACTGCATGAAATCTGCAGTGCCACCAAGCAGACAGACAGATGCTGTGTGGGACACAGCTGCTCCAAGGCAGATACTATACAAATGTCAATCCCTGCTCAAACCAAACCCAACACACACGTGTCAAATAAGGTTTAGGGCATGAGTTAAACTGCTTATTCACACCATGGGTAATTTAAAAGGCCAGAGGTCTACCCAGAGCCTCACTGGTCCACTTGGCACCTACAGCTGAAGCAAAGCAGCCTCCACGGCACATGTCATCCTGGGACGCGAGGTGGTGAGTATCATATCGGCCGTAATTGGCTCCTGAGCTCAAAGAATCAATACCATTTCCAGTGAAGACAACAAACATTGGCCAAAACCCAAATAAGGATTGAATTGCTGCCGCCGGAGTGCTACAAAATGCTGTAAGTGCAGCGAGCTGGTGTTCCACGCAGAACTCCTTTGGGAGGATGCCGACCAGATGATGAGCTTCCAGCTTATGGGACCTTGCAAGCGGCCAAGGTGGTCACAGAAAGCTGGGAAGGAAAATCTGGTTTATGGCCCTGACCAAAGAGTCAGCCAGACGCTGTGGGTCTGCACAACAGTGGGAAAACAGCAACATTTTTCTGCCTCCATTTTCCACCCTGGGGACCCCTCAGCTTCACGCACCCTGTATGGCTGGAGGCAAAGCACTGGGAGAGAGTCCTCCTGCTCCGTGGGTGCCCTGGAAAACGTGCAAAACGCTCTGAGAAAGTGCAACACCACCACAATTTCCCCCCCCTCTCTGTACCTACTTTAAAAGGGTTTAAATTGCTCATACAAGGGTTACAGTCAAAGGGGGGATAATTGGAAAATGCACAGTTCCATAGCAGCAATGCCCCTCACCTACCCACACTGACATCGGGGTCAGTGCTCTGCAAAGCACTGACGACCAGGGACTTCTCCCCTTCCTCCAAAAAGATACCCTGCGAGCTGTTTTCCACAGACCTTGTTCCAACTCAACGGCGATCAGATACCCACTTGAGGATGCCTATTAGCTTTCAAGTGAAACACTATATATATGATGGATTTAATGTAGTGCTTGAGAGAGAAACGAAGGCACTTGGCTGGTTTGTTTCTTTGGTGTGGTACATTGGATCATCTCCTAAGTGCTTATCTTCACTCAGTACACAAATTTTTGCATCATAGCAGAGTACTCTGGGTGATATGCTACTTCATGATTTGTTCTGGTACTCTGAATCGACCAACTGCTCATTCAATTCATCATTATAGGACGCCTGTTTGCAGCCACAGCTAACTCCAGATGTTCAAAAATAATGAAATATTAAAATACTGTGGACGTTTTGACCAGCCTTCTGACTTTAGATGAGTTACACTGTACTTACTTCACCTTTTATAGCCTCCCTCTGCAAAAATGACAGCTAGAATCTTGCTTGTGTTAAAAAGATAGAGAAAAAGGCTCCTGCGATAGCAGCACTCCAGTGGTCAGGCATTAAAAATAGAAGTGCTGCCAACCGCAAAATTCATGATAAATTGGGAGAGCTGTTGCCAGTGTCTCTGTCTGGCAGCACAGTTTAAGTATATATATTTTTAATAGGACTTTTACG